CCTGGGCACACTGGGAAGGCTGGGCACACTGGGAAGGCTGTGCCTGGAGCTGCTGCTCTGCCGAGAGGAGGGAAGGCAGTGTCGCGTCCCGACCCCCGGTTTAACTCCGTGCTCTGGAGGGCAGGAAAGGAGCTGTTCTCTGTCTTTCTTTGCTTCACCCTCTGCCTTTTTCTTTCTTTGTTTTTTTGTTTAACTGCCTGAACACTAGTCCGGCTCCATCACATGCCACTGTCCTCCCTGCTGCCTTGGAGGGAAATGAGGCCTTTGCTGCTAAAAGTGACCCCTGCCTCTTCCCCAGCCCCCTGACACTGGGGCTCGCTTGTGTCTGTAGTGCCGAGGGAGCCAGAGCCTGGTCCCCCCAGGCTCTGCTCCCCGTTCTTCCCCTGTGCTGCTGCCGCCTCGCCTGCCTTGCCTTTGAACCAGCCCGGGGGGTGGGCTGTCCAGCATCCCTCCTGCCCACCCACACAGAGGTTGTGGTGTAAATAAACCCAGAACGCAGTGGGTGCAATGCTCTCCTTTCCTTGGGGGGCTGTGGGGCTTCGTTTGGCAGGGGTTGGGGGGGAGGTTGTCCTGATTGCTCCAAGGGCAAGGTTGCTCAGGGAGATGCTTTCCAGGTGATTCTTTCCAAATTAAATGTCAGCTCTGTGCTACAGGGGAGGCCATTACCTGCGATGAGTTGTGTGGAGCTGTTACAGTGTCCCAGTGGTCACTGGGGTGCCACAGGCCACCCTGAGGGGCAACATCGGGGTCCATTGTCAGCTCTGGAGGGCCCAGCATCCAGTTGTGGTTTGAGGGCTGTATGAAGTGAGCAGGAGGAGAGGACAGAGTTTAAACTAGATTTAGCAGGGTAAGGGGAGGTACTTCTGAGTGTCCGAGAGGAACCAGGAAACACACTTTAGGAAGCAACCAGGTAATACCTATAAATCATTGAAAAACAATGATGAGGGAGGGCTTCTCCCAAGGGGTGAAGAGGCTGATAGCCTCCCTCAAGTGTCCCTACCCCAATGCACACAGCATGGGTAATGAGCAAGAGGAGTTGGAAACGGTAGTGAAATTAGAAAACTGTGACCTAATTGCTATCACAGAAACATGGTGGGATGCATCATAAAACGAACACTGCAGTGGAGGGCTACAAGCTTTCAGAAGAGGCTGGGGAGGAGGGACAGGGGTGTTGGGCTCTGTGCTAAGGAAGGGACAGATTGTGAAGAGCTGCCTCTGAGTAACAGCCGTGAACAGGTTGAGTGTCCATGGGTAAAAATCAAGGACTGGACCAGCCAGAGACACCCTGTGGTCAGGGTCTGCTACAGGCTGCCAGCCTGGGGGAGCCTGCTGACTAGGCTGCCTTGCTTCAGATACAGGAGGCGTCATTGGCAAACTGTGTACCTCCAAGTCCTGCATCCATGTTGTTTATGAAGATGTTAAAGATCATTGGCCTTAAAAAATTGAGTCCTGCAGAACCCCACTAGCGACAGGTTGCCAGTCTGATGTCACCCCATTCACTATTACCCTTTGCACCTGATCTTTTAGACAGTTGCTCACCCATTGCATGAGGTGTTTATCCAGCTGTGTGCTGGGTATTTTGTCCAGAAGGACCCTTGGAATGACAGTATCTAAAGCTTTACTGAAATCCAAATAAGTTACATCTTTTTGTGTCAAGGCTTCCTTTGATCAACTACATGGGTCACCTTGTCCTAAAAGGAAATTAGTTTCTCAAACAGGACTTTTATAGTTGTCATGAACCTGTGCTGGCTGGGACCCGTGCCTGTGTTGTTCTTCAGGTATATTTCAATAACTCTCAGAATAATCTCCATAATTTTACCAGGCAGTGAAATGTGACTAACAGGCCTGTAGTGACTAGGATCATCCCTGTTACCTCTCTTGAAACTGGGACAGCATCTGCCAATTTCCAGTCAACTGGGACCTTTCCAGATTCCCAGGGCAGTTCAAAAATTACTAAGAGAGGTCTCATGATGGCATTCACCAGCTCTTTGAGTGCTCTTGGATGAATCCAGTAAGGCCCCACAGGCCATCCCTGTAAAGGGATCCGGATGGAGAAGCAGATCCAGCATGAGTTTGGGGAGTTTATCATTCTCACAGTTATGATCCTCCAGCTCAGGGACCCCCAAAGTCCATCACTGGCGTTGAAGACTGAATTGAAAGCATTAAACATCTCTGCCTTACCTGTGTCCCGGCTCGTGGGGTGCCCGTCCTCATCCAGGAACAGGAAAATGCGATTTCTGGACTGGATTTTGCTGTAGAAATATTTAGAAAAGATAGAGAGGGACTTTTTATACAGGCACATAGTCATAGGACAAGGGGAAAATGGCTTTAAACTGCAAAGGGGGACATTCAGATTGGACATTAGGAAGACTTCCCTAGGAGTGTGGCGAAGCAGTGGCACAGGTTTTCCCGAACAGCTGTGGATGCCCCATCTTGGAGTTGTTCCGGGCCAGGTTGGACGGAGTCCACCCCCGGCGTGGTGGGTGCCGCCCCGCCCCCGGGGGCGCGCGGGGACCGTTCGAGCGCGGTGTTCCCCCCGAGCCCCAACATTCCATGAGCCGCGACCCCGCGCGGGCGGGGGGCGGTGCCGCGGCGTTGCCGTTGGCGGCGAGTCCGGGCGCGTCCAGCCCGGCTGCGCTCCGGTGTTCGGTACCGGGAGGGTCGGACACTCACCGGCACCCCCCCCGCACCGGGACGGTCGGGGCGAGGCCCCGCCCCCGCCTTCCCCGCCACCAGGTGGTCCCGCCCCTGCGGCCGGGGCGGCGCTCGAGCCTCGCTCCCACCGGCGGCGGGCACCGCACCGCGCCGCGCCGCACCGGGACTGCTACCGGCACCGGCGCTGCTACCG